TTAATGCTAAAAAATATTAAGGAATCATATTATATACATTAGACAAAAGATGTGGAACATTTAAATTTTTACGGTATTCTGTGGTACAATTTACAATTTTATTAAAAATAGAAAAAATACAAATTAAGTAAATATTAAATAACCCACCCGCATTTAACAATTAGCTATTACATACCTGTATATATGATGCAATGCCATTGTGCATGTGCTGTGTAGCAAAGCATGTAGTTTGTGTAATGTAAATTATATACAGGTTTTAGTGTAGAATACAAATATAAATAATAATAAGCTTTAATTGAACTCACTAAAATTTACAAAACTATGTTAAAACAAAAATAGTAGATATTACAAACATGAAAAGGCGAGTTAGATAAGGTTAGAATGTTAGGGTTTGTAATCCCAAGTGAGAATATATACACATTTTAAGACCTAACAAGGAACGACTGCGAAAAACGCAGCACAAGGTCCTCTCGTAGGAATTGAACCTACGGCCCTGCGATTCCAGTGCAGCGCTCTAACCAACTGAGCTACAGTTACAGCTTAACAACTGGCCTCTGTAGCTCAGTTGGTTAGAGCGCTGCACCGAAATCGCAGGGCCGTAGGTTCAATTCCTACCAGAGGACCTTGTGCTGCATTTTTCGCAGTTGTTCCTGGTTAGGTCTTAAAATGTATATATTCTCACTTGGATTACAAACCCTAACATTCTAACATTAATTCCACCAAGTGAAGTGCAAGAATCCATCATTGAAGTCCACCTTATCACAACCCGCACACCCGATTACCTATATATACATGAACTTGCGGTTATAGCTTAACAGCTGGCCTCTGTAGCTCAGTTGGTTAGAGAGCTGCACCGGAATCGCATGGCCGTAGGTTCAATTCCTACCAGAGGACCTTGTGCTGCATTTTTCGCATAGGTCTTAAAATGTATATACCTGTATTCTCACTTAGATTACAAACCCTAACATTCTAACATTCCACCAAGTGAAGTGCAAGAATCCATCATTGAGTTAGATAAGGGATTGGCAAATGGACCCAACAAGGCAAATCCCGGCATATATTAATTACAACTAATGACACTAGGACAACAAAATACACATAAAAGTTTCCTCTAAAATACATGTACTACTGAGAGCATACACCATATTCGTCATCTAACGCAGTAACGCTAGTTTCAAATGAACCTAATGATGAAAAATAAGTTTGTACCGGTAAATTCGGTAATTTTAGTTTTACACCCGTTTTCAAAACTAGGCGACCAACCCGAAAATAATTTCAGTTCAAATGCCAGTTTCATGCCACACGAAAAGCTACAATAGCAAACATAACAAAAATTTGTGTTGTCAATGAGTAAAACATATTTAAGTCCGAAATAGAACAATTTAATGCCAATTAAAAGTAACTATGGGAATCAAACCCACTTGCATTAGACTATTGCAATAATTATCACTATAATATTTTGAAAATCCCTTCTAAACGTTTTTATATAAGGCAGCATACAATGCATGGCATAACCACACCACAAAACCCAAATTAAGTTGTAAACATTTTGAACTTTGCGACCGTGTAATTAACATGAAACTGATTCTTAATTCTTAAACTCTTGCCATTCTTGACCTGATCGCGCAATAAGAACTGGTTTAAGATGTTTTAGAAGATGACATATCCTGCTAGTCAAGGGATGAAATACACTAGTTTCCTCCAACCTTTAACAACAGGGAGATCTGTATAAATACACCTACAACAAGGACATATTGTCTTCCACGTACTTAGTCTGTCCGTATCAAAACTGTTATTTAGCTTATTAAAATTATAATATTTGTGCAATCAATGACTGTTCCAGGTAAGCTTATTATTAACTACTGTATGACCCCGAGGTCTTTTGACGAGGTGACTAAAGCAGGTGGATGGTCATCAATGGTGTAAATGATAGTCCCCAATCGTTAGACCATTTGGATACTGAAGTTAAATCACGCTGAAGAGCAGTACAATCCTCCGGGTTACGAACCACTCGGGAACATTTGGCATCATCAGCAAAAGGGGCATGTTGTGTCGCCGAGTACATCAGGCAAGTCATTAACGTGCAAAAGGAGAAGAAAATGTCCCAAAATACTGCCTTGAAGGACACCAGATGTTACAGGTATACCCACCAGGAAAATGCCCCATCAATAACAATTAACCCGCGCTGAGATCTCGAATTAAGGTAGTCTGTAAACCACGCTTGTAGAGGACCCTGGATACCAAACAGTGATTAATAGTTTATGTAAGAGTCTTCCATGAGGCACCGAGTCAAAAGCTTCACTGAAGTCAAGGTAAATGACATCTATTATATTACTGTATCTGGCCTCTAACGAGCCACCCAAGTCGTGAAGAACTGATAGTAATTGCGTAACACAAGATCTTCCTCGAATAAAACCATGCTGTACAGATGTTAAATAAGAGATGGATGAGCTTGGGTAGTAACTTCCTAAGGATGCAACGCTCGCAAAATTTGCTGACTATATAGTGTCGTATGTTTTACTTCCTGAAATACTGGTGTTATATTTGCTAGCTTCCATGCAATCGCAAGGAGCTTACCACAACGTAACGACTTGTTCAACCGGTCCAGTTGTTTTACTTGGATTGAGACTGACTAGAGCAGACAATACAGTACTTCTTCATGAGAGAATTTCAGAGTTGAAATACAATATCGTTCGTGTATGGAGAGGAAGGAAGGCTAGTAAGTATTGATGTGTCAGCGTTGAAAACGGAGGTGAAATAGGTGTTAAACGCATCTGCTTTTGTCCTCGCATCTGAGTAAGCACATCCATTAAGCTCGACGGCGTCTGGGATGTTGGAACGCCTCGTCAAACGGTTGAAGTATAGCTTCAGAAGCGCGATTCGGGTCAGAGAAACACGTGCCTGAAATGCGTATTAATTAATGCGTGAGGTATCTCTCCATCAATCCATGGGGGTGTAACGAACTTACCAGGTTTGTGTTTCGGTATGAAAGCGTTAAGTTTGGAAAAAAGCGCTGATTTCTAAGAAATCTAGTCGTTTTAAATGTTGTTATCATTATCCAGATAGTTGTCCAAAAGGTTATAATCGGAAAAGCATTGACAAAACATGGATAATGCTGAATCACTAGAATCACAAAAGCCAGATCCATCAAGCCAAGTTATAGCTGGCAAATTAAAGTCTCCAAGCAGATAGCAGTTCTTGCTATAAGAACACTCATTCAAGGACTCAACAAAGTCATTAATCCATTTAGTATTAACACCGAGAAGTCGATAGGCTACAACGACTAAAACTTTACCACTGTTGCTTGTGTTCATTTCAATAGGTTGTTCTTGGTTGTTCTTGGTAAAAGCAACAGGTCTGCATCGTAAATTACTACGAGTTGTTAACAAAACGCCGCTTAATACAAGCATTACATTTATTAATTAAGCAATTTTATGTAGTTTTATTTTTAATATAAGGAGACATGATATGTGACTAGTATAGGTCGCATGTCATTAATTTGAGTTTATAAAATAATTTGAGTTTGAATATCTTATCTACAAAAAAAACACATCTACTCTTACTTCTATCGAACAAGATGTCCACAAATCTCGATATAATACGCAAAAATCTCGCATCTTGTAGCAAGTTTGCCAACAAGCCGTCAACAAGTTGTCTTCGCACTGTTTGTCCCAAGTTGCCAACAAGTTTGGAACAAGCCGTTAACAACTTGTAACAACCTTGTTGATGTTATCACACTTGTTGGAAGGTTGTTCCAACAAGTCCGATACAGTCATGATATAACAATATTGTTACAACCTTGTGTCGTCAACCTTGTAACATTCTTGTTACATTCTTCTAACAAATCTGATAGTGCCATCAAGTTTGTTACAATACCATATATTGTTAACAGCTTGTTCCAAACTTGTTACAACAACTAGGAGCAAGCAGTGCGAACACAACTTGTCGACAGCTTGTGAACAGATTTATAACAACTTGTTTGCAGACCTGTAACAACTTGTACGTGTGTAGTTTATATAATTGTGAATACAGTTGAAATAAATTGTGAATACAGTTTTAGAGGTTGAAATACTTTGACAGTGTAAATATATAAAAATTATTGTATGTAAAAATTATAAATATATAAATTGTATGGACCTTTATTGGAAATAGAATGGATTTTGATGATCTATAATAATTGTATATTTCCATACTATGGATATAGTATCGAAATAGTATGGATATACTATGGATTTATAGTGGTGCAATTGCAAATTTCATAGTATGGATTTCACATTTTTTCCCCAGTGAATACTGGGCTCAACCTCATCGAATAATTGTATAATATCATTATTTGCAGAACTTTTGTTGATATACAATCATGGGGAAAACGAATAATAAAGATACGCCCCAGAAAGCTCCAACTCATGTTGTTGCCCTATATGATCATTTACCGACAGAAGATGACATATTCAACGTGAGCGAACCTAGTTTTGTTGTTCCTGATGCCAGCGTTCACTTGACCATGAAGAAAGGAGAGATTTTTGAAGTAATTGGAGAAATTAACTGGTGGTTATTTGTTAAATCTCAAGACCAAACTGGTTATGTACCCAGTTATCTCATGGTACCAGTGAAATATGATCAACTAACAGCAGATGAGTAAGTTTTCAGCTACAGTACAATTTTCATACTACAGGAACTTGATAGGCTACAGTGTTAGATTTAGCGATTGGAAACAAGGGAAAAGGAAGAGGTGGAAGTTAGTGACTGGTTATGAGTTTAGTTATCTCATGGTACCAGTTAAATATGATCAACTCATGCATAGCTGATGAGTAAGTTTGAATGCAGCTAGATTACAATTGTGTATATGGTACTGTGAGAACTTGATATTAGAAAGATTTAACAATAGAAAAGAAGGAAAAACAACGGGGTATAAAGGTGAGGAACGCTAACTGGTTATGAGTCCAAATATCAAGTGATATAGCTGTTGAGTAAGTTTGAATGCAGCTAGAATACAATTATGTATATGGTACGTAACCTACTGTGAGAACTTGATATTAGAATCGCAGAAAGATTTAGCAATAGAAAAGAAGGAAATACGAAGGGATATAAATGTGAGGAACGTTAACTGGTTATGAGTCCAAGTATCAACTTATAGCTGATTTTAGTAAGTTTTATTGGAGTTAGGACACTGAGTTATCGTACTGTAAAAACTTGATATTCGAATGTCGAGAATATGTACAGGTCGGATGCGAATGCTTTATATTACTTAAAATATATACTGTATGCATATTTAGTATAATAAAGTTTCGTGATGAATTATTAATGATAATACAGTATGTTAATTACTTTTTATAACTACATCTGCCAAACAACACTGGACAGAATTTTGAAAATCCATAGCATGGAAATTGTATGGATCTTTATTGGAAATAGAATGGATTTTTGATTATCCATAATAATTGTATAAAAAATTCCATACTATACTTTGGGTTTAGTGGTGCAATTGCAAATCTCATAGTATGGATTTCACATTTTTTCCCCTGTGCAAAACGTTGGTAATGATAACATAGTTTATTCATGTAGCCTCAAAGTTTTATCCCATGGTGGAGACGTTCCTTCATCTGCAATTGATACTGAAGTGGATTTAAAATATTTTCCTGATGCCCTCTGTGAAAAGGACATTGAACTTCGTCGAGTATGTATCTGGATTATAAAATCTTCAAACACTGTATTATCCAAGAAAATATAAATGTAGGAGGCTTATAAACGTGCGTGATGTATTTATTGACCTGCGTCAACTGAAAGAGTTAGAAGCATGCTAAATAATGCCAGATTAACAGCAATAGACTGTACTGTTTTAAAATTGCACTCTTGCCCCAACGTCCTCGTTTTCATGTGGTTATTTCCTTGTGTTTCGTGCACAATAGGTTAATGATGATTTTTTACGTAATTGGACTCACGATCAAAGAGAAACGTATTCGCGCACGAAACATAGGGTCATAGGGATATAACCTTCATGTGCGTCTGCTATGCTAAAATAGACAAACATGGGAACGAGGTCATTGGAGCGAAAGTGCAATAAACAGTACAATCTATTTGTGTTGATAATTGTTGGGTAGACGGTCCCTTCTGAGCCACTCCGTTAGTGTCGGTCACTGGTCTTGTTCTGGTAATTCTTTCTTAATGCATTTTTGTGTATTGACGCAGGAAATCTGTCCTGAAGAAAACGCCAATATATTCTCACGTTTGACAATGTGGTGGTTGACAGGGTAATTACATGTTGTTTTTTACTTGCTTGACAATTTAGTTTATATGTATATTTAGTATCGTGGACCGAGATCGGGTTTCCGAGAAAATCCTTATTTACGGGTCAGTTTAACGTGCAGTCTCACTGATCCAAATCATGATTGTGTGTGCATAATATTTGAATCATTCCGGCTGAGAAGAAATGCAATATATCTGTAAAAACCTCATTTTCAGCCGCCTCTTTACTGTAAATTGTCAAAAATTTGGGACATAATAACCATTAGATGAATTTTTTAAGCAAACAACGAAGGGAAAATAATTCGAAATTCATCTAATTATTGACACCATATCCGGAAACTTTTACAGTGAAAGAAAAATTATCAAAAAGAGGCTTGTTATAAAAATATTTATTAAGACATAGGAAACTGTTTACTATACATGCAGAGAGATGTCCGTGAGGAAGAGTTCGTTTGTACCAGCGTTTGTGGTGCCATGGGCGCCACGATTGCCTTTCAAGCTCGGAGACCTGGGTTCAATATCTTGGTCAGACCTCTATTCAAGATCTTAAAATTATTGATGAGAAGTGCGTAGCTATACATTGACAACAGTAAATGGTTAGGCTTTCGCGTCTTCTCAGATAAGAACGTTAAAATCGTAAGTACCTCGGATCCCCTATCAATTGGAAAATCCGCTAACCAATGAGTGAGAAACGCTATAAACTCAAACTCACATATTTATATTCTATAGTTATGCCTGGTATAACCCATGTATGACTAGTCAATTTTTCTTTACTTAATTCTAGCTTGATTTACAAAGGTTTTAAAAGGCCATTAACTGATGATGACTTATGGGGTCTGAGTGATTATAATAGTTCCAAAGATATAGTCCCAAAATTTCTCGAAGCATGGTCGAAGGAAGAAGCAAAAGTTGCAGCATTAAAGTGAGTACAGCAAAATGTCAGCGAAATGTCAGCGAAATGTTGTAAAAATAATGTCGGCCACATGTCGGAACGCTGCGGATTGAAAGGGATTCAACTCCCTGAAAAATGCATTGTCAAGTAAAACTTCGACGTTTTGCTTGTATTTTTCAGGTAGTTGAATCCCTTTAAATCCGCAACTTTCTGGTGTTATTGTCACTACCTACAACGCTTGGCACACACCGTTCGGACCATATAATTTATGTTGTTTTATTAAGAAATACCTTGTAAGGCAAACATGCAAGTGTCGTTTGTTCGTTATTTGGTTTGTAACTTTGTATGCTTTTGTCCATACATAACAACTTTCCCCCTGTAGACCCCAGGAGAAAAGTCCCAAGTCTTCATGCATCAAGCCAAGAGAAGTTGCAATTTAATTCTCATAGTTTGTATATAGACTACAGTCAGAGGTTCCAGAACTGTGAGGTCTTTCTTCGAACTATATCTGCATGTAATGATGTAGAATTTTCCAATATGAAGCGGTTAACATTTTTTCCCAAGGGATGGCGAGTTAGTTGATTGGCGCCACTTTTGTTATTGGCTTAGGCGTTTGTTGTATTCTTGATGTATCTTTAGTAAATATCGAGATTTTTGAGCATCTTGCTCGGCAGAACTAACAGTTGAAAGATTTTGTCGATGGAAATTTCGAGCGAAAGATTATATAGACCCATTAATCGATTATATATTAGATTATATTTATAATTATATAATAGATTATACAGACCCATAGATTCTTAGAGTGTCCTCCAGATGCTCCCTAACAATATTTGTTCGGGTACAACAACCACATGCATTATGTAACAGGGATATTTTCAAGCACTTTTCTACTACCGGTATACGGTAGTAAATACTAAATCTTCAATTGAGTTTTGAAACTCAATCTCCCTCTACAATGATTTTTTTTCACAATTTGATTTTTTTTTTAATGCAAATGTTCCATTATCAACTTTCTTTCTGTGCTCTACAGCTAGCTGATGGCCAAACTAGACTTTGAAAATCCCATTTCCGACGATCTAGAGACTTCAAAGTTTCAAAATTTTTCCGCTCGGCCCCAACCATGTTGGCGCCTCGTGCAACTCCCACTTCCAAAATGTAAACACGTAAAAAGTTGGTCCCGAAATACTTTACACCCCTCCAAAATATTTTGGAATGTGCGCCCCCGAACACAAAATTTTTTAACGTCGTCCTCCCCCAAAAGAAACTCGATCTTCTTCTGAAAAACGGTATTAGCCTAAAGTGCTTGAAAATATCCCTGCCATACAGCGCAAAAAATCAATTGCCAAAATTTGCTTTGTTTACAAAAGTTATATTATGCGTAGAATTTGTCCTCCAGATGCATTGTCACAGGCGCTGTGACGTCATGTGCAATGGGTCCATACGTACAATTTTTAGACCTACACCAGGGCGTCTATAGTTGCATTTTTCGCAGCTGCTCCTGGTTAGGCCTAAAAATTGTATGCAGTTCTATCGAGCGAGATGTCCACAAATCTCGATATTTAAATCTCGATATTTACCCATACCATACACTATTTTATGCGGGTGCTCTGGTTTCCTCCCACGGGGAAAGTTGACCGTGTGGGTTAGGATAAATACAGTTAAGAAAGTAATATCACCGATTGTTGTAAAGATAAAATAGTCTGGGCGTAGTAATGTTAATCACAATCGTATTCCCTGATATTAACGCGGATTTTACGCAATAATGGGCCTTTGTATAACCAAGGCCGGATTTTGGTGGAACACTGGGAGAGGTGAAAAACAATTACTAAGAGGAAGTGCAGCGGTCTAGTCCACGGCCCCCATGGGATGTTAGGGCTTAGAACATGGTTCAACCACCTAAAGTTGACTGCGTGACCAATGTATGCACTGTACAGATGTATCGATGTATTTATGAGTTATAACCGTACGATTCATCCAATTTTGCCCTTCATTACATTGGCACAAAATCTCTTTCGAAACATCGATTTAAAAGGGTACTTGACACAGAGATGAGTGGCTATCACTTTTTCAATTTTACAGAATAACTTAGTTGCAAAGTGTATACCCTAAGCAACACATACAAATTAAAACAGTTATGTTTGAGAAAAAAGTTCACTTTGATATCATCTGATCTTTTCCCGAGCGGGGGGGAAAGGGTACAAAAAATTTCAGGGCAAATCAATCTCAGGGGAGGTGCACACCCCTCACACCTCCCCTTAAAATCTGGCTAAGGCATGTGTTTAACACTTAGCATGGCCGCAATAGTGCCAGCCGCTCACTCTCCTGTAACTGCATGCAATGTTCCACTGCCTTTGTAAAAATCCTAATGTTCCCTATGGAATTTTTAAACATTAGAACTCACCAGGAGCAGTTGCGAAAAAATGCAACTATCGGCCCTCTGTCATGAATCGAACCTGCGTCCCTGCGATTCCAGTGCAGCGCTCTAACAACTGAGCTACAGACAGACAGTTGTCGATATCTAACCACAAGTTCATGTATAAATACTAAGGTGATGTCAATGTATGGGTAAATATCAAGATTTTGGACATCTCATTCGATGATTGACAATTTGTTAAATCGAGTTCTCTATGCCCTCTTTCTCTATGTTTAAATAATGGTCACACTACTCTTCTTGCAGAAGATTTTGACGACATTTTGTTTCTTTTTCCAAAGAACTAAGTGTGAAAAGAAATCAAGAGATTACGAAGGTGTTGAGACTGATGACGTCACGATCATTGACAAGGAGAAGAAAAAGAAAGAACCCCGACCCAGTGTTGTGAAAACAATAGGCCGTGTATTTGGAAAGATGTTCTTCTTTTCGTTTCTTTTTAAGATTGTGCAAGACGTTTGTGTTTTTACCCAACCTCAATTGTTAAAGTAAGTTTTTCGCAACATGAGCTCCACCTTTGAATTTACTATATGAGTAATTCTTAAACACACCCGAATTTATCATTATGATAAATTCGCGGCACAAAAAAATAGTTTTAAAAAAAGTTTTAATAGAGTTTTAAAAAGCAAAAAAAGTTTAAAAAGTTATATTTTCAAAAAAGTTTAAAAAGTTAAAAAAGTTAGGGTTAGGGGTTAGTGGTTAGGGTTGGGGTTAGGGTTATGTGCCGCGAATTTAGTATTATTATAAATTCAAAATGTGCCGCGAATTTATCATAATGATAAATTCGGACGTGTTTAAGAATTTATTCATATAGTAAATTCAAAGGTGGAGCTCATGCTGGTTTTTCGCGCGTTTTCACCTTTTTTGGGCGTATGTCCAATGAAGTGGCAAAGAGGGGTGAAAGACAATGTCGTAAAAATGTCCATCACTGGTGAAAGATCCTGCACATTTTCTTTACCGAATCGTAATTTTTTTGGCTTGCCAAGTCAAATGGCTATTTGTGCCCTTTTTTGTAGTAATCTCTGCCCATGTAGACAAATTGAACAGTTTTCTGAAATGCTTACAGTGCAATATTCTCCACCCCTGGTTGGATGGGGAATATTGGCAGTGTGGCATTTATCCGTTTCTCCGCGGTAATACCATACTACTGACAATAGATAACTACTAAACGTGCAGTTTTGAATTAATAATTAATATTTAAAAAATGTGAAAATACTGTAGGTCGGATTTTATCTTCCTAAATACTACCATATATTGCTTTGTAAGTCGGCAAGCTAACGTTTTTATCGAAAAATGCGAGTCGACTTGTAGCAATTAGTCTATGGTAAATGCTGCTAGGCGGGGCTTATCACGGGGTTACGGTAGTTAACTAAAATACAACATGCATTCCAACTATTATGAGTCTGATTAAAATAGAAAAAAAGTTTGTTCCTATATCCAAAATAGCAAAGTCCCTTGTGTTGCATTTTTTGCAACCGTTCCTGGTTAGGTCTTATTAAATTGTGTATATTCGGCATTTTTTAACTTGATATAGTGAATTTGACACTGATATTTTTGTCGCAACATTGCGACATTTGCTGACAATAATTACCAACAGGGTTTTGTTCACCATTGATTTTCATAAATACGTAATTGAAGCAAGCAATAAAATGAAATTTTGACTTTTTTCGAAAATTTTTGGCCGACCTAAAATTTTGTGAGTTCCAAGGGCTGAAAATGCGAATTCATTTGTAGCAGGACTACCCACATCAGATTAAGCTAGATTCGTCCATGATACTGTTCTTTTCCTGATTGAACAGGTTGATAATCGAGTATGTTGAAGATAAAAACAATGAGAAAATGGAGAGTTGGACAGGATATATTGTAGCATTGGCAATGTTCTTGGTTGCTATGATACAGACAATATGTCTTCAACAGAACTTTCAAATAACATTTACTGCCGGCATGAGAATAAGAACTGCAGTTATTGGAGCCATCTATAGAAAGGTAGGTGAACACATCTTTCCTGGAAACTTCCTCTTATTAATTCATTTTTAAAGTCACAAGGTGTAGTTGCCAAATTCGCCAGAGGCTGACTGGTCGATTTTCCCACCTCACCAAAAAATACACCTTACCACCTAGTTGTCGAGTACGTGTACCATGGCTGACTCGTACCCAGTCCCTGAAGTGATGATTGACAAAATTATGGTGTATGAAGGGAATGATCAAGGCTCCTGTTATGTATCACACTTCGCAGTCCACTGATCTATATATGTGCTTATTGACGACTGGGGGCGGACTCGGAGAAAAACCATTGAAGGACTGGGGAAAACTAACCCAACGCCATGACTTACACGACCGGAATTTGCTTATTTGAGCATGCGCAGGTTGTACATGCTGACATTTACTGAATATTAATGAGCGAACTACTAAATTATTTCAAGGGATAGTGCGCAAAGTATCGATTTATTGGTAGAATTTTGAGGTGAAGAAAAGACTAAAACAATATTAGGTGACTCAAGAATTAAGAAAACTTTCAACTTACAATATTAGCCTTATATTGTTGCAAAGATAAGTACGTTAAAGCATGGATAGAGAAACGACAGACCATCACAACAAAAAATCCTTGTCGTGAATCACTCGTAAAGTTTGGAAAAGAACAATTTAACGTCGAATTTAACCGTGTTCAAACCCGCTTGCGCTAGACTATAGCGGTAATATTATGACTTTGTTGGGCTTAAATTTTCCAATACTTCTAAACTTGTTTATATAAATGTTTATATAATGCATGACATCGATAACGAACCACAAAACTCAAAAGTTGTAAACAATATATTTGAACTTCGTGACCGTGTGACATAAACCTTACATAAACCTTATATATCAACTCAGTATTTTTATGATCTATGCCCATGGCATGGTCAAAGTAAAGCACACAAAAAGCGCACGAAAATTCTTGACCGAGGCCACGATGCTATACAATTTTCAAAAACTCAATAATTCAGGAGGAAAACACAAAGAAAAATAGGTACGCATTGCGTACATGTGGGTAGCCAAAAGTTCGATAAAAATAGATACAAACTGAGCAGGCTATGAAACTAGTAGACAGATCCAGAAGTATTATAAATATATATATATTTTTGACAATGCCTACATTACAATTAATTCTTGATAGCAATGGTACTTTAATAATTTAACTGAGGAAGAATTTGATTTTAATTGTTCAATACAGTGAGTTCATTCATTTACTATGTTCATTCATTTAACTATATTAATAATAGGACAAATGGCATTTCTAAAATTTGTCCATATTAGCACGCTTTTCTACGAGCATGCCAAATAATCCAGTCATCCATTGTAAACATTTCAGTTGTAAAGATTTATGTCACAAAACATCCAGTTAAAGATTGCTGGCGTTTACTGTACTACTGACTTTGAACAGAGTTCATGAAACATTTTTCTTGTTGTTTTGATACCATAATGATTGTTGTTGCCACTATTTCAACAATATTATCTCAATTTTTGGTTCCACCAACAACAGCGTCATCAGTAAGTAAATAACTCTGCTGTACTTGTTGTATTGAATATCCATATAGTATTTCTTCATGACATGATTGTATATTTGAAAAAGTTCTGATCATATTGCATATTATCCAATATTATCACCAGTGTCCTGATACATTATGTGATTTTACTTATTAGCATATCATCCAAGGTGCTGTACAGTATGCGTTTGTCGTTTCATTGTATTAAAGTAAAAGTTCCTCTTTTTGAATCTTTGTTTATCTATATTTTGAAGAAATAAATATTGGGTTAAGGTCATAACTTTTCCAAAGTAAAATGCTACCTGGAATCCCATATATGTTTTACTTGGTCGAAAGGAGTAGTTACTAACATAGGGATTGGTGAAAAATATTTACCTCTTGTTGAATGTTATGAAATGTTATGTGAAGCTATCGTTGACATAATCAAGTTTGAAATGTTGCAATTGAATTGTAGGCATGTCTAAAAACAGAAAGAGTAAATACATTAGACTAACATAAAAACACATAGAAAAAAGAGAATGGGAAGAGAAGGGAAGAAAAGAAAAAAAAAAACGCTTACCTGTTAGAAAAAGTCATGCATTTCTAGTTTAAAATTAGGATATACATAATATATATAGTTTTGTTAGTTCTGTTTTGGATTAATGGGACACAGTTATGCCATTGCTTTAATATTAATTCAGGTATACAAAACTTAACCTGTACTATTTTAGCCACGTTAGCAGTAAGGATGTAGTTGTTACTTCTATGTTTTGATAGAGGCCCATATTAATTGCTCTATGATCACTAAAGTATATGTCTCTAAAACACCAGTATGAATTTTATCCTCAATCAAATTTGTATATAAATGATCAAATAATGTTGCATTATCTGTAGTAAAACTTGGTATCATTTGTCTGTAGTTATTTTCTAAGACCATGAGGTTATACAGTGACTGTCGCTCAGATTCCACCATCCAATTTACATTAAAGTCTCCAATAACAATACTTTGAGCAGACACATTTTCTTCATGAATGGTACAAAGTGCAGCAAGTAGCTGTGATAAAGCAATGCTAGGAGGACAATATAATCCAAATATAGTTAGATCTGGATGATCCTGTGTTTTAATCACAGTTAATTCAATTCCATTTATATTCCGAGCACAGGGATATCCATCTGACAATGGAGTTCGACTATAAACAGCTGTTCCACCATATGGACGGGTAGGACCAGGATAATTAGATATGTCATTTCGAAATAACCTGTAACCATCAAAAGTGTACATCTCATCAGGGTCTAAAGGACTAAACCTTGTTTCAGTAAATATTAAAATGTCTGTTGAGGAGTAATTAGGGTCTTTTCGAACATCTTCAATGTGTTTATGTAGAGATCGGGCATTGAGGTAACAAATTTTCAGATCGGAGTGATCTAACATGTACAAAGGTGTGAAACAAAGTTTCAAGCAATGTTCTGTTCTTAACATTTCCATTTCTTTTATAACTCTTTGATCAACAGATATTTTATCCTCGCATAGGTCAGTGATATATACAGTAATCCTTCAATTGTTGTAACTCGGCTTAGAGCAATGTAGGCTATATGTGGAATAGTCCTGTTAGTACTTAGGTTAGCAACTATTTGTGTCTGGGTATCACCTTGGGATCTATGTAGGCCTATATGACTTATATCCCAGGTACTTGTTAAATGTGTTGTGTTTGGGGTAAATGTATGACTTCTTATATGCCGCATTCTATGTTTACAACTCTTACTTATTGTTAAATTTGTTGTGTTTGGGGTAAATATACTGTAATATGCCACATTCTCGGTTTATAACTCTTACTTATACCATATACATAAAAGAGGTACCCATGACGATTTTGAAATTTGGGTCCCTATTCTGTACATATATGGTAATACTCTAGTGAACAACTACTGAACTCTTGCCTCTTGGATTTCAAATAAAAGTATTAATCACTCAAACAAATAACGATGGAGATTCAAATCATACTACTCGACCAAACCACAAAGCACACCGACATTTGCTATTTGGTTGACTTTCTATTTACATCCTAAACATAAACAACGGGATTGCCTGTGTATAAAAACCTCGCTGTTGTGACCCAACACAATATATGATTTAATTAGCCTTTCTCACCATCAAAGTCGCTGTTATGTGGACTTATCGCACGGACTTCAGCTGAAATGCCACCCAAAAATGGCGGCGTGAGAAAGGCTAATTAATACAACACCAATCGAGCAGATCAAAAGCAAACAAAAGGGGAAAAGGCAAAACAGCGTTGTAAATATTATAAAAAAATGAACAAAAAATAGTAACTTACCTCTTCTTCGGCTCATCTATCGCAAAATTTAGAGTATATTTTGAGACTTTTAATGAGTTGGTCGCAGGTCACTTCCCACAGCCACAGAATAGGAAGTTATACCAGAAGCGTAACTCTAGTCGTTTCCCTTATTGTTTGACGTCCACGAAAATTTTAACTCGCTCACGTCAGGCCACGCCATCCTGGCTAGTACAGCCGGAAGTTTTTATCAGGATTTGGTAGGTACAAAGTGCCGGTTGTACTAGCCAGGATGGCGTGATTGATGACGAATCGCTTGTAAAAACGCGGACAAATATTTGCTCGAGTTACGCTTCTGGTATAACTTCCTATTCTGTGCCACAGCAAAGGTTTGGTTTCTGAGTTTCCGACGAAATACCGAACTTTCGATCGCCAAACTGTCGTACTTACTTCGGCTTATCGACCAATTGTATCGACCTCGCGCCCAGTGTCTTTCGTAGATAACCAAATTCGGCGGACAGACATCGCGCGCTTATCATCGCTCATCGTTTTTTTTGTATATGATAGTGGGTAGCCCGCGAACGGGCTACCCACAAAAATCATAAGCGTGTCGTGGTTTTATATGTGATAAAAAATCATGTTAATTTACATAAACTTTAGCTTTGATTTTCTCGGTTTAGACAAAGTTTATTTTAAAAATTACTTCGCCAATGAACTCGTATAAGATGAGTCGTTTTTGAAGCCATTTAAAGCACTTATAGTCGTGTTTTATCACATATAAAACACTCCGCTACGCGTCGTGTTTTATATGTGATAAAACATTCCTACCCGTGCTTTAAATAGTACATAATCATAGGCGTACGGGGCGGTGGGGGGGGGGGCATCAGGGGGCAGGTGCCCCCCAGTCAAAATGAAGTCGGGCAAATTATAAACGTAAGTCGGGCAAAACTTGGGGGAAATAACTTTAAAAAGAATACATATGCAATATAGTATTTGAAAATACAAGAATTATGTAAAAGTAACGAGGAATTTTAACGGATTAGGAAATTTTTGGTCGGAAAGTAGGGCACAATGCGGAAGAGTCTGGTAAATTTCCTTCCGCCCCCCTAATTTTTCCCTCCCATACGCCCGTGATTATAATTTCCAGTCGTGTGTGGGTTTTCAAGAAGTCGTGCCAAAAAGTACGACCGGTATACCATTGATATGGCCCCGTGCTTCCCAATAACCTTTTTTATTTAACGAGGATTTATCGATAAAGCTGGAGCGTTTTTCTAATCTGCTCCTCCTAATTCTAAAATTAAATTGAAACGAAATTGACAAAAACTTGTAAAAATACTCTACATTGCTACGCTGATACATCACATTCTAATATAGCCAACATATACTTCAACAAATATTTATTGTATAGAGAATAATACATGGGTACGCGGAAATACTAGATTTATTTCGAGTGTTGAACATCTTCAACATACTCGATTATCAACTCAATTATTGTATAGAGAATAATACATGGGTGCGCGGAAATACTAGATTTATTTCGAGTGTTGAACATGATATCTCACGAGTGAGCGCAGTGAACGAGTGAGATATCATGTTCAACACGAGAAATAAATCTGTTATTTCCAAGCACCCATGTATTTTTCTTTTTATTATATAAACAAAATTCAGTGAAAAACAATAAAACGTCCGTGGCAATGCGTTTTACAACAAATTATATTTTCACACGTAAAAATATCGTATTTTTTACGTGTGTTTAAATACGATTTTTCTCAGTGGCCAAAAATTCTATATAACACTTATATAATAAAAATGTTTATTATACTGTACTGTACTGTACCGTACCGTACCGTACCGTACCGTACCGTACTGTACTGTATGCATTTCAGAGCTTAAAATTTAATAAGTGTTATCACTGGGGTGGAATACTCTAATATGTGTTGTGGAGAGTGCTTATGTGATAAAAGTAGGCCGGCTTACTTTACGGCCACTTTTCTTTTGACAGGCGTTAATCTTGAGCAACGCATCGCGTAATTTGTCTACTGCTGGTGAACTGGTGAATCTCATGTCGGTTGATTGTCAAAAATTATTGGAAATTTCATCGAATTTTTCGATGATTTGGTCAGCACCGTTACAAATTATTTTTGGTTTAGTCTTTTTGTTTCGCACGCTTGGTGTGTCAGTCCTCAGTGGTGTCGCTATGATGATTCTACTTACGCCAATGAATATAGTTTCTGGAAAACTTGCACAAAAATACCAGGTAAACTCGTAGTTTATACAAAATGAGCACGGTTAATTGATTTTGGATAGTCAATAAATATCGTTATATAGTGATTTATTTACCTGTGAGGGGGATCCAACTGTATCTGGTAGGGAGATACTGAGCGGGTACTGATCACGAAGCAGTGCACAATATTCGAAGGAGGCACGATGCATCATCACAAGAGGCAGAGCTTGCTAGAAAAGTTTTGAAAGGTTGCCTAGATGGTCAAAGAAGCAGGCCCGATATTTCATATTTGCATGTTTGATAATTAAAATTTGGGTTTAATTCGGAAATTGGAACCCCTCCTGCAACCCCTTGGCACAGAGCAAGTAAATACAGAGGTCTCACTTCAGGTTAATTTAGCGTATAAGGGATTTTTTCAGTCCGCCATGTTCTTGGCAAGTGCCCTAGAGATAAAACCTCGGACCCGCGAACAGGCTGCGTAAGAGACTACCTAAAGAGAGGCTGTCACTCCCCTGAAAACATATTGAAATTTAATGTTCCAGGGGGTGAATGACTCTCTTCAGGTCACTTGCTAAGAACATGCATGGCCGTCAACTAAATTTTAGTAAAAACTGCGGTTTTCCCGCAGAAGTGAGACCTCTCTGTATGTACTTACTCTGTGCTGCCCTTGGCCTTGGGTAATGGTAGAAGGGTGCACACCCCCCTGATCCCTAGTAAATCCATCCCTTGCCAACTGCGCAGGCAACTCTGCGACAAATGGCCAATTACGCAGTAGATAAACATGCACAAGATACATAGTCTTAAAAAATTCATTAATAATTCACGAGGAAAATACAAAATAAATGAATATTTAATCAATGTTTGTAAATCGGATAAAGATTTGTCCTGATTTACATAAACTTCAGCTTTGATTTTCTCGGCTTAGACAATGTTTATTTTTAAAATTACTTCGCCAATGAACTCATATGATGGGTAATTTTTTAAGTACGATAAAACATTCGCATCCGATCTGTATCTGATATACAAACTCTCGCCTTCGGCTCGAGTTTGTATATCAGATACAGATCGGCTGCTCATGTTTTATCTAGTACATAAAGTTTAAATGGTAGAGACTGGAAATGTTATTCAAAGTTACTCAATAATTTCTGAAGGTTAACAGTTATTTTATGCGCGTTTTTAGAAAAAGCAAATGGCTCACAAAGATTCCAGACTTAAAATCATGAATGAAATTCTAAATGGCATCAAGGTGTGTTTGTACTACCGCATTTGAACTAAGAAGTCTATTTATAATCTTTCAAAAATTTACCAAAACAGCTAGCTAAGAATAGTTATGTGTATCTAATCCACGAGCCAACGGCGCGAAGCGCCTTTCCGGGCGTTAACCCGTGGCAAGGGTACTAATTCTGCTCGGCTATTTACACCAGGGGAAAGGAAAGCATTAGCGAAGTCTAAACTCTAAAGTCCATCAATAATCGTGGGCGCGTGACTATGATTCAAGGGTGGACTCCAATGGCTGTTTGGCAGGAATGAGATAAGGAAGATTTCAATTTTCAAAAACATATATTGGGAAAATTATTTGCTTTGAAGCAAATTTTGTTTGAAGAAATGAGAACAATTGATGTATTATGGGGGGCAAGTTTGCTTTGAATGTTTAATTATGTTTATGAATATTGTTGCTTTAATTTTTTGCCTAAAACACGCACTGCTTTCCTTTTCAATGAAGTTGTAAGTTTCTTAAATTGCTATATTTAATTTAAGAAAAAAATGTTAAATGTACTAAGGAGAGGAAATTAATTTGAAGACCGAACTGAAATTACTCAACAATTTGAACTCATTTTGTTGTATTGAGTAAAAACAGTTTATCGGCAAAAGCAGTTCTAACAGTTGAATGAACATTACAAAACATTTTACGAAGCGAATTTATGTTAAATATTACATTAAGTCAAAGCTCACAAAATGTAAATCTATATTCAGTGATAATTTATATGTCATTGTATACCTGACCGTTGAGAAGGCAACCGTCATTATAAATAACGTTTTCCAGGCCTTGCCCTCACAAAAACCAAGGTGTTTGCCTGTAATAACTGTAGTATATTTAGTACTGTCCACACCAAAAGCAATCTATAAATAAACTTGACATGCATGTCATTAAAATTGTTAAGGCGCTTAGCAAAACACGTGTGCAGTCTTGTTTAAAGGTGCGTGTTAGGCGCGCGCGCTCGATTAAATTTTTCTGGTTTACCTATAAATAACCGTACTGTATTTTGGTTAATATTCATGGTTAGATTTCCTGGTCATTTTGATAGGACTTCCCGATAAAATTAACCGGACTATGTTTGGTGGATAAACACCCAGGGGCCCCTGTTTACATGATTGCATATTAATTTATCTTGGTTATCTCAACCAAGACGTCCTGGTCAAATATAATCATATCCCTGTTACATTAACCAAAATGTGGTAGGAAGTGCAATACAATAACCAGGAAATGAAACCAGGAATGTATTAACCCAGAAAGTGTTATTTCTAGATCAACCAGGAAATTTTAACCCGAGTGTTTTTAGAATGCATATGTTATATCAAGGTTCCTGGTAATATACATATATTTATCTTTGTTGTTTTAATCTGTTACATTTTCCTACAGGTTTTAAAGTTGTACGCCTGGGAAAAGTCATTCATTGAGAAAGTGTTGGGTATCCGTAAACTTGAACTGCGTCAACTCAAACTTTCGAAGTTCGTCTGGTCTGCACTTTCATTCACATATCTCTGTGCGCCATTTGCTGTAAGTTATGGTGTAGTGTAATGTAATTTAGCAGCTGTGGTCACCAATGTAACCGATGTGGTCACCAATGCAATGTCAAGGAAAGAGAAAAACATTTTTCACCTCTTCATGGGACTTACTTTCTTTGTATCTGTCTTTGTAGTTGCATGCATTTGACTTTTTCATTCGTGAACAATCACTAATTCTCTTTCTTAATTCCTTCTTTCTCTTCTCTTTCTCTATTTTCTTTGTTATTATTTTAACCTTTTCTTTCTGCTGGCTTCAAACATTTTCTGGGAAACCAATGGTTCCATGATTTTCTGTTGCTTCTCACCCACCTGCTAAATTATTACCAGTTATTTGTAGGTGACTTTCATACAGGGATTACATCGAATGCGAGTTCAAATTAGTTCAAGGTTGAACCATTAAAAATTAGACTTTCTTTTTCATTAGGTCTCAGTGGTCACATTTGCCACCTATGTTTTACTGGGCAATACCCTGACAGCTTCCAAAGCATTCGTAGCACTGGCACTGTTCAATATTCTACGTTTTCCTTTGACTGCCTTACCATGGATGCTCATGAATATTATACAGGTACGACAACAAGCTGACGTTTTGTGCCCACCGGGGGCCGGTTGTTCAAAAGCCGATTAGCTTAACCCTGGTTTAACCTAAAATTCAAAGCAAACGTCCTGACAACTTGTTTATAAATTTGGAAATATTTCTTCAAAAATCTTGTCTGGATCGATAGAAATTTTCTTCTCTAAAGTTTTGAAATAAACAGACGTGCAGAAATGCACAAACTAAAATAGCAGGTTAAATTTTAACCGAGGGTTAGCGCTAACCCAACTTTGAACAACCGGCCCCGGGTAAATACTTCGCTCCACGAGCATGGGCCTGGGAACGAGAATGTCCAAGGCAATACGGTGGTTCTGCCTCCTACTATGGATAATAAAATAAATGGATAGGACTGTAGCTGACGTCACAGTCTAAACCTAGTTGCAATCTGTGACGTCACGCGTATTGCCAAAGTTCTCGGCATTTTTGTTGTTTCGCTATATTTCCGCTTTAAAAGAGTAATATTGAAGCATAAACTGGTCTAATTGTTTTAAAAACATGCCTATAAGCCACGACAAAGTATTCAAGGTAAATGTTTTTCGTCTTTGTTTTGTATTTTTTTTACATTTGTAGCTACGAAGTTTAGCTGTATTATTGCTAAACATGCCGTTTTTGAGAATTTGGTTTGCAACTAGGTTTCAACATCCAACCACGCCATCATCCCATTGAAAACATTAGGTCACGTCAGCTAGAGTCCTATCCATTTATTTTATTATCCATGCATGCTCCTACACAGGTCCTGCTGCAGCTTGGGAAGGTCACACACAAATTATGCAGGGACTGCGGAATCTTGTAAAAAATTAGTCATTATTTTGCCAATTAAATATGCAGTAATGAATTCTAGTATTTAAGTAGCGATAGTTTCAGCTAATCGCAAATACAACTTTCGGCAAAATCGTATCTGATTGATCCGTTATATTTTTTCCTTAGCAACGCGTAGCAATCATGAAAATTCACTTTTCGTTGGTCTTTTACGACCTTTTATAAATTTATGGAGGAGAGTGCCACAGTAAATTAATTTCTCTGTAGACCACTTGCACAAAGACGGATTTAAATATTATTCCATGTGGAACATGATAAGCCTTCTTGGTCTCGCTTGTGTGACTGAATTTGAATATAAATTTAGAGGATGTGAGCATAAAAGAATTAGAGCATAAAATATGCGCATTAAATCTGTCTCAATTATGAAAATGGTCCATTTGATTTTTAGGATATGATGAAAACCAGACTAACTTTTCATTTGCTGCGCATGCGCAAATATAGGCAAATAATAAGGAATGCAGTGATAACTTCTAGAGTGAAAAATTTGATCAATTAAGATGATGTTTTTACTATATAAAGATATTCATTTTCTTTTTATAATGACCTAATATTTAAAAGTCGACCTGTATATGCTGAGTTGATATTATTTTGCAGGCTATGGTTTCAGCAAAACGTATAGAAACATTTCTGTCCTTGCCCGAGTTGGACAGCGAAAATGTGAAGAAAAGATCTGAGACTGGTGAGTTACCTTTGCTCACTTTAATTTCTCAAATTCGAATGCATGCATGCATGCTGCAATTTCGTATTTTAAATCCAATAGTTTTAATTTAATCAAGTTTTGCTGCATACAAAAAATAAATACTAGATAAATAGTAATATGCAGAAGAAACAATACAAGGAAACTAAAAGTGATTCCACAAAAAAATGATCAAAAGGATCATGCAAAAAAGGGATTAATAAAATAAACCGAATGTTATTCTACGCATCCCAAGAGACACAAGATCAATCAGGATCATAAAATACGGTTTTATAGATGTACTGTTGTTTTTTGATAACGCTACCGCGGAAAGTTCTAATATTTTCAGGTAGGTCGTTCCATAAATGAACTATTCGGTTAAAAAAGTTTGCCTTCTGATCAGACGAATTGCCCTAAAAGGTCACGTGATCTGAGTCCTCCTAAAATAGCAGTAATGCCGCAATTTATAACTTATAATATGGATACTGGGGTATGTTGAGTTTTGATGTACTAAGCTTGCTGCCATATTTTAGCCCGTGACGTGGCTATAAACTAACATTTTCAATGCACTTAATAAATCTTCTTCAAAGCAAATCTTTAAACCCAAACTTCAAGAAACATCAGAAGATGGTCTGATATCACGCGACAAGTTTAGAAGAGACGAACACGCTTTAACACAAAAGTTGGATGACTTAGATTTATCATCCAACATGGTAGCCAAAAACAAACTGTATTACAGTACTTTGAAAAGTTACCATCCTTCCTGAAACCAGGCATGAACATTATGAAACCGTTAATTTTCCAGAGGTTTTATTCATAAAATATTGGGTTTGGAGAGGATTAAGATAAAAATCAGGTTTGTCTCACAGGGGTCGTGCATGTCCCTTGAATTCCTTGAGAAGTGCTTTTTCAATACAAAATATGTTAAAAGACCTTGAATGTATCCATGTAATGCACATATGGGCCACTAAAAAGGGTGAATTTCCCTAGTGTAAAGGGAACCCCCAAAAAACAATCTTCAATTCTCTAAAAGTGAATAAACCATACTGTGTCAAATAGTCTCTCAAGGTTCGGTCACACGAGGCAACAAGTTGCAGGGATTGGTGGCAGGGACAAATTTCATCGTGTGACATATGTACAAATATTGTCGCGTGGATTGATTTTTGCATGAATTGTCATGCATGAAGTAGTCATGTTGCCAGAAGTCTAAGAGTTTTAGGAATCGAAAGGCCTAGAAAGGACTTCAGCGTTAAGCAAATTGTTTTGTACTTTGATAATTCACCGAGCACGTTTCTAAATAATGCATATCATGGTTGGCAGAAACAGGCATTTTTTCCTCGGGAATTTATTTTATTGTTAATGATACCCTTAAGTCTTAACTGTCAATGTCTGTTAAAAGTTTTAGTATCATTACTTATATTCTTCAGTTCAGAGTCCATTCGAAAATTATCTTCTTTTTGTTTCTTCCATATACTTCAGATGATTGTCTTCTTTTGTTCCTTCTTATTTTCTTCCATACTTCAGATGAAGTTATCAGTATAGATGACGGTACCTTCTCGTGGGCAGAAAACCAACCTGCCATTCTCAAGAAGTGAGTATTAGTATTATTTAAGATAGAGTTTGGAATTAGCTCCTCGAGTGGGATGATGCTTTGTAGAGCTGCTCCTATCGGTTCATTACTGTAATCGACTAATCGTCATCAACAATCGATTAAACTTGTCTACGGCCAATGGACATTTGACGATTAATGCGCACTAGTAGTATCAGAGAAATAAAAAAATTTTCATTTGATCACATCGACAATACGGGAAAGAAGTTATTCAAGTATGCTATATCATACACGGCTGTTTTGTTGATAGGCAAAAACACAAAAATAATCGATCTTCGAGAGCAGCTCTAATACTTTACAATTTAACTATATAGCATTAAGCAATTCGATTACACTTAATTCATATTTGATAATATTTTATTTAGTATCAACTTTCGTATAAAAAAGGGATCTTTGGTTGCTGTTGTTGGTCAAGTTGGTTGTGGAAAGTCTTCCTTACTTTCCGCATTGCTGGGAGAGATGGAAAAATCAAGCGGGCAGGTCGTCAAAAATGTACGTATAGATCTTATTTGAACTATAGTAATAGAACACGTCATGCAATTATCGTGTGTCCATACAATTCTCGAAACACGCTTGAAAAAAATGAGATTTCAGTATAACTTGGTCAATTTTAAAACACGCGATTTCTTACCCCTGCGGATTGAAAAGATGTAATATATTTTTGGCGAAAAAATACGTATCATGAAAGATGATAAACAAAGATCGGCAATGGGTTCGACTTGTTAGCACAAAAGTTAATTTCAAATAAATAACTAAAGAACGAGAGAAGTGCATGAAATGTTTGAACGTCCATCCGCCCACGTTTCGACTATAATCATTTAAGCAGCTCACTTTTTCGGAACAGTGCCGGCACTAGGCGCCCCCACCCCAAGACTTTCTGAAAGCCCTTGAATGATATAGCTGAGTAACTGTGTAACAAAGCTGTAACTGACAATACTTGTTCAACCATGGAAGCACTGGTAGTAGGCCATATATTGCATGACATTTACGGCATACAAAACGTAGTCATGTGATGGCAACAAAAGGTGGTCATGTGATCAATATTTCGGAATTTGTAAGTCGTATTGTTTCGGAGTTTGTCAGCCACCTGAAGATTCCTTTATTGGATGAAACAGGCTGCAGTGGTAACCTTTTGGTGAGTGGAAGCCATATTTGCTCTATCTTTATGATATCGAGCACTCTTTATCATTTAAACTCATGCATGCTCTAATATTCTTTGTATATTATTCCATTCCCAGGGATCAACAGCGTATGTTCCTCAGCAAGCTTGGATTCAAAATGACACAGTGAGAGAAAATATTCTGTTTGGGAAATGTTATGATCCTAAACGTTACCACAAAGTAATTGATAGCTGTGCATTGACACCAGATCTTGAAGTTCTTGCTGGAGGAGATAAAACACAGATCGGAGAGAGGGTAAGACACTGGTAAAATTATAATTAGAGAGCTTAAGCAAGCCACGTTTTGACAACACGCACGCCAAACGGAAGTCAATGGAGCTGTTATAGATGGCGAGTGGTGGTGATAGCCGTTCTTATTTGAAACCACGAACGTGAAACACAGCTGAAACGGTAACCTGCAGGAAAAAAGTGAGGCAAACAAAAATGCCAACGCCACCTGACACCACTGCTTATGCATGCTGCGTACCCCACAATTGCTAACGCCGTCGAATGTCATCAGTCATCACCAGCTCGCAGAGTAGATATGATACAGAGGTTCGACTCTGACACCGCCCTGAACGTCCACTATTTTGAATGTTTTAGGGGTTACAGCATCTTCTTAGCGCATTGGCTAGGACCATGGCGGGGACCATGAACATCAAAATTTAGGCAGATAGCGAAATTACCGCGGATATCTACGTGGTGCGCGGCTGAAAAAAGTACCAGACCGAAATATTAATGGCGTACTTCCCGTGCATAAATACGCGGTTTATCCTACCCTGCATTGGTGAAATAGCATCTATTTGCAATAAAATAAATGCTATAAATTATATGGCTAGGGTTGCGAATCATGCTGATATTCTCCAATAAAGACATCCACGTCACCACGTGTATTTAAAAAATCGGTCAACGCTCTTTCAAATGTGGATTTTCTCCGGGTACCCTGGTTTTCTCCTATAAATATAGGAATGTTGGCAGTGTGGGTTAGGATATAGTGTATATTAGATCCACAAACACAGAAGCGTTAGCTACAGGTAAATACATAGCATGATTATATGAATGCCATTATTGCTATACAACATAACAACATAAATATTAAAACATAATTTGAAATCATATATACAGAAAGTCATGGTTTTATCCATGCATGCATTGTTTTAGGGTGTAAATCTGAGTGGTGGTCAAAAACAGCGTATCAACTTGGCAAGAGCTGTGTATTTCAATGCAGACATTTATTTACTTGATGATCCTCTCAGTGCAGTGGATGCTCATGTTGGTAAACATATCTTTGATCATGTCATTGGACCTCAAGGTTGCCTTAAAAAGAAAGTAAGTTTTTGTTATAAGTTTTTAACTACCCATGAAGAATAGTTATAACTTACTCAAGGATAGTAATGACTTACTCAAAATGTAGAGGGGCCGGTTCTATCCACCGGATAGTGATTTTTTCAACCTTCCTGAAAATGGCTGAAGGCTAAAAACTGTGTATCTACAGGTATGGACCTCGCAATAAACACACTTTACTTTATAATTACTAAATTTTCACCTTGGAAAAAATCACTATCCGTTGGATAGCGCTATTACGGCCTTCGTCCAACCTTAATGACGATTGAACAGTTGGGAAAATCCGAAACGTTGAATAGATTGGAGTGTGTAATGAATGCGCAACTATATATGTAGAACACAGTCAATTGGTCATTTAAGGTGTAAGGTAAGTCTTTTGCATGTAATCATTACAAGCAGAAATATCACAAAATATTCCTTATAAAACCAAACAGTAAAAGCAATGAGAAAATTTATGAAATGCCATTAATATATTTCTGTACCACAATGTGTTTTTTTTTAAAAATTGAATGAATGATACAAGAAGTGATGTTATTGAAGCACAAGTGTAATTGTATCTTTTATCAAGTTGAAGAAACGGAATTTACGTTGAGACTCTAGTCCACAAGCTCATTCAATTCATCTTCGGCTTCCTGACTTTCTGACTTTCAGCATCCGAGATGTACATCACACCAGTTTTTACATCGAGCTCACTGGTCGCCTCTCCCCTCCTCGATTTCTGAGCTTATAACAACTTACCCACTGAGCACTCCAGCCAAAAATTCTCACTGCTGAGGGGTGGCCGTATCGGAAAATAATAAATAATATCAAGAAAACATACTGATATAACCTACCATTACTGATATACATGTATATATATATATATATATATATATATATATATATATATATATATATATATATATATATATATATATATATATATATATATATATATATATATATATATATATATATATATATATATATATATATATATATATATATATATATACCAAAAAAAAGTACTCCGGTTTGATTCGTAATAACTTCTAAACAAGTAAAGCTTTTAAAGAGAAATAACTTGCATCAAATAGAGAAAAGACTAACTTAGATTTTGATATATTACAGTTGTATTTCACTTAAAAATTCACGGAGATATTAATGTTTAAAATCGGAAGTATATTTCTGGATGTGTCTGAAATATGCAAAAAACGGCGTATCAAATATTAATCAAGATTTGCTCGACTGAAACATGCACTATTACCAGTAAATAACTGACACTTGACAAATTGTTTATTATGAAACAAAGTATTATTATCTACAAAATACAAGCAAGGTTTATTCGTCCAAAATCCGCGTGTGTTCCTAGCACGAATACGTTTCCATATTTCATGAGACCACTGCATCGCGAAGGATCGTCATGGATTGTTCGTAGTTCTGAATTAGGGCATGCTGTCACAATGGAATTGTGAAGCTCTTCTAACTTCTGCAACGTTCTGAAATCTTGTTAAGAACACTCAAACTCTTTTGCCTTTTCTTAATCTTGTTAAGTTCAGAATCAACTGAGAATGAAACACAATCAAACCATACAACTTCATAAGACATAACAAGCAACTCCCCAGAGACATCCAACATTTTTGGAACAAAACGTAACAAAATAGTAGCGTTGATCCTGTCATGTGTATTTGCAAAAAGCAATATTATTTCCTTCATTAAAGAATAATATTCATCCTGGTCTAACCGAGAAATAATCAACTCTGTTTTGAACCCATGAAAAACATAAAAAATTAGGCTATTTAAGAAAAATTTAAGCGCCTGCCTTGCATGGTCTTTCATGTACCTTTAAGATTGTAAAGACCTATACTTGCATAATTTCGAACGTTCATATTTCAGGAAACAATGAGCTAAGACTTACATGCATGTAAGATGTCTAAATCTACACCATATCCCTTACAAACCCTAACGACAATTCGCTGAAATACAAGTTAGCCTGATATGTCATTAAGCAAACAAACGCTGGAGTTAATATTTGACATGCCGATTTTCGCTAATTTAGACACATCCCAAAATATGCTCCCGATTTTGAACATTACTATCTCCGTGAATTTTTAAGTAAAATACAACTTGTAATATATCAAAATCTAAGTTAGTCCTTCCTCTATTTAATGCAAGTCATTTCTGTTTGATAGCTTTACTTGTTTAGAAGTTATTATAAATCAAACCGGAGTACTTTTGTTTGGGACACCAAATATATATATGTATATATATAAATATATATATATAAAAATATATATATATATATATATATATATATATATATATATATATATATATATATATATATATATATATATATATATATATATATATATATATATATATATATATATATATATATAAATTTAATAACAATTAAATATCGCTCCATATGTGAACGGGTTTTCTGATTGGTCAATGGACCATTTGCATGCATTATAGACTAAATTTTCATCTAAACAAGTCTAGACAAAAATTTCATCACAGCTTGAAAGAGCATCACAAAATTAGTAATATTCCAAAGTTTCGTTGTGAAATGTTGTGAAATGCGGATAATATAGCCTTGCGAAGTTTGCCGTTTTTCAGTCATTTTCTATTACAAACGGGAAATTGACAGCCCCAAAGGGTATTGTAACTTCATAACTTCGCAAGGCTATATTATCCGCATTTTACAACATTTCGCAACGAAACTTTGCAATATTACTAATTTTGTGATGCTCTTTCAAGCTGTGATGAAATTTTTGTCTAGCCTTGTTTAGATCAAAATTTAGTCTATTACGCAAGTCTAGACAAAAATTTCATCACAGCTTGAAAGAGCATCACAAAATTAGTAATATTCCAAAGTTTCGTTGTGAAATGTTGTGAAATGCGGATAATATAGCCTTGCGAAGTTTGCCGTTTTTCAGTCATTTTACATTACGCGGGGGAATTTGACAGCCCAATACCCTTTGGGGCTGTCAATTTCCCGTTTGTAATACAAAATGACTGAAAAACGGCAAACTTCATTTTACAACATTTCGCAACGAAACTTTGGAATATTACTAATTTTGTGATGCTCTTTCAAGCTGTGATGAAATTTTTGTCTAGACTTATTTATATGAAAATTTAGTCAAAAATGCAAATGGTCCATTATAACAAAGATTCACAGATCACTGTGGAATTCAGTATTTATGCATGAGTCAATGTAAACCCCGACCCCCCCCCCCTGCCGGGACAAAGTGGGGGTTAATAGGGGATTGGTAGGGGTTTAGATCAGGAAACACTCCCAAGAGGGTGGGGGATTTGAAGCTTTTAGAATTTATTTATCCCCAGGGTATGGGGATTAGGTAGGGATTAGTAATGAGCCAGTTGTCGATTTTTCAGCGGTTGTTCATCACAAGTGGCGTTTTAACATCTAGCGCTTATTATCTTTGCTTTGTATGCTTTTGTGCTTTTGAACATTTGCAGGTACTATTGTTCCCAGTAAACTGCGAAACGACCGTTTCTTTAGGCAGTTTGTCAGTGACAGTTTTGTCAATTACGTTGGACATATTTGTGTACCTCGTGATCACAATTCGTTGCAAGCGGCGTGTGAAAAACTGCAAGTTTCAGTTTGACAGTTCTGGCAGATAAATGGTTTCTAATTTTATTGTCCAATTAGGTGCGTAGTTTTGATTTAAAGTTCAAAACTACGTATCTGATTGGACAGTAAAATCAGAAACTCATTTAACTGTACTGTCAGAACTGTCAAACTAAAACTTGCAGTTTTTCACTAGCCGCTTGCAACGAATTGTGATCACGAGGTACACAAATATGTCCTTCGTAAAAATTATCGGTCATTCCGCAGTGTATGTAGATTTTATTTAAATCGCTAAACTTGTAATGCAGATTTTGACCATCTGTTCTTTAATTAAAATATAAACCATGAGGATAAGGAATATCTTAAATAAATTATAAATAAATTATAAATAAATGATAAGGAGTCTTAAATAAATTATAAATAATCAATATTTTGCAAGCTATCCATCTCAAGAATCTCTGCTCAAGAGTGCAATCTATAGCAGTTCATTGCATTCCATACATAATTATTTGAAACGTATTAAAGCCACAAAAAAATAGTTGGTTAGCGTCCCCGCCCGCCCACAAAAATTTTTTATTTAAAAAAACCCGACTTTTATTGATCAACGGGCTCTAATATATGTAGTATTTCTGTTGACTGTAGTCAATTGTGTTAATAATTTGCGAAATTGCGTGCGAAAATGACAGTATGAATTATATTTTGAAATATATAAAAAAATATCTGTACTGCGCAAGAAAATCCAGTTTCGGACCTAACAGTGAGTAAAACCAAGGCGTTAAAAATTAGTAAAAATTAAAAGAAAAGCGCCCGCCCGCCCACTTCTTGACAAAAGCTAAGGACGCTAACCAACTATTTTTTTATATGGCCTAAACTGTATTAGCAGTATTTAATTAAAAAGTCTTCAAAAACTCATTAATAATTCATGAGGAAAACACAAAGAGAAATCATAAGCGTGGCGTGTCTTTATATGTGATAAAACACGCTTCAAATTTCAACTTGTATTTTCTCAGCTAATACAAAGTTATTTTGGAAAATTATTTCGTCAATGCCGTGATCTAACTGAGACGTTTTTGAAGCTGTTTAATAAACTCGTAGTTCGTGTTTTATCACATATAAAACACTCCGCTACGCGTCGTGTTTTATATGTGATAAAACACTCCTACTCGTTTATTAAACAGTACTTAATTTCTGGGCGAAGGCCCCAGGTACAGGGGACATTTTTTGACATTCGGAACCTTTGATGCTCCCCATGATGTGGGGCATTTGCGAATATTAGAACAAGGTCAAAGTCAAATCCCCATCCTGGCCCGGGGTGGGGGGTGGGGGGGTGGTCGGGGTTTACATTGACTCATGCATAATCAGTACTTTTTATGTTATCATTTAGACAAAGACAAAGTGCGTAGCAATTTTATTATCGAAATAAAAATCATTTTGGCACGAAATTTCCAGCAATGTGTAGTATTTCAGTGTCATTTCACGATCAAAGTATTGTATTTTTAACGGGGAAATCTTCTGTGAATTGCGCGTATTTTACTTAATAGAGTTAGAGTAAGCAACGAATGCTTTGTACTCGCAGATCGCAAGTACATAGAGCAC